TGAGAAGAGTGGTCAGAACAGCAGAGGGGATCATCGGGGTTACACTCCCCTCTGTAAAAGACATTTCATCTCAGCGCTGTGTGTCCCGTGCATCATCAGCGACCCCTCACACTACCACCATGGAATGTTCTCCCTGCTGCCTTCTCGGAAGAGGCTTTGCAGAATTCGATGCAGGACCAGCAGGTTCGGTAACAGCTTTTTCCCTGCTGCCATAAGACTGGTGAACTAATTAAGTCAAAAATCCAGACTCTGCATCACACTGTAAACATCATACTTGCGCTACAGTGCAAATCTTTTACACAATGTGTATACTCTGTGTATACAAAATAACAAAGTTTTGTCTAAGGCACATCATGGAAATGGCACTGACAGTTGATTGATTAGCAAAATAATCATTAATTGCAACCCTAGTACACATGGTAGATTTGTGTGTAATGAAAAAAGGTGGCTCACTGTATCTTGATATACTTTTTTAAATGCTCCTGACAAAACTGGATGTTCTCTAAAATATACTGCTTGTATGCCTCTCTCTGACCTATTTATTTAATGTGTGTGTTATTCTTTCCTTTTCAATTTCTGCTCCCAGCCCCTTTATTTGACTTTGAAGAAATCCCGTCTCCACTGAGCGAGTCAGAGAGTACCATCACTGTGCTGCTGCGCCCTGCCCTGGGGAGAGGAGCACCCGTCAGGTACAACAAACAAGTAATCCTTATCTATTAATGTAACATCTGCGCTGCACAGTGACCTTAAAAACTGCAGGTCTGTTGGACAATTGGAAATTATTAGTAAGGTTCAGAAAGCAGCAGACCAATCTCAAAAGCAAAATGTATAAAAAACCTAAAGGTGTCATGTGATGTTAATCAAGGTCAGTGTTGTCAAAAGTTCACACATTTGCTACTTCAGTAGAAGTATAGAAACTGCAGTTTAAAAACACTGGTAAAAGTTGAAGTATCAGCCTGACCTCTTTACTCAAGCAAAAGTTAAAAAGTTTGTGCTCCAAAAACTACTTAAAGTATAAAAGTATAAAGTAACCTTTAAAAAAAAAACAGCCAGAAGCTCAATTTTACCACAATTTCGAAAAAATCTTTGAGATAGGGCTGAAGGAGGTCTTGTTGGTGTCCATCTCCCAGTACGCTCTCACCTTTAAGCAGTTTAAAGTTTGAAGAACACCTGCTTGCTTCTGATGATTTCCTTTGGCGTCAGCACAAATTTGACGAGTAGCTAACCAATATGTACTTTAACATATACGTATAAACATCCAGAACATAATGTTAGCTTAGCATGAACAGACTACCAACATAAACAACCTTCTTTATCACAAAACTAGGATATTTGATCCCCCCCCCCCATTTTTACAATACACTCCAGCCTCACAGGACATTACAATGACTGGTGGAAAAAGAGCTTTGACTCACTGACACAAAACTACTGATCGTAAACAGCTCATCAGTTCAGAAATCATGTTTATCAGAATAAACACTTACTAAACACAAATACATCTTATTGAGTATTATTTCTTTTCATCACCAGTTATAATAGTAGAAAAGCTTTCTCAAGCAGTCTGTGATGCATTTTGGAAACAGGAGATGAGCCCCTGGTCTACTGCAGTACCTGGCTTGAGAAACCTGTTCAAAGACTTACTTTTACTTTCATTATTTATCTAGCACACATACATCATCCTTATCTTATTTTATTCTTATCCTTATCTTATTTTATTCTTCTATCTTATTTATACTTACAACCTCATTGTTTCTCTTCTGTGAACAGTTTCACCACAAGAAATAAATTAGATTAATTCCAAGTTTACAGTGAGAGTAATCTTAATAAAAAAAAAATCTTTGCCCACCAGTAATGAAAAAATATATATATATATATGTGTGTGAGTGTGTGTGTACGTGTGTGTAAATATATATATATATATATATATATATAATATATATGTCTGAGTGTGTATGTGTGTATAAATTGCAGAGTTGGTATTATTTTTACAAAAATGTATTATATTTTACATAAAAATGCTTCTTTAGTGTGAAGTTTTGGTGTGCTCATGTGTGTACTGTGATTGCAGAGCAGTTAATCTTTTACCTATTTCTCTCAGTGCCTATCAGGTGGTTGTGGTGGAAGAAGATGGCTCCCGCAAGGTTAGAAGAAGAGAGTTGGGCAATGTGGACTGTTTCCCCACTGCAAACACGTACAGCGATGCCCAGGTCAAAGGTGCACCACATTACTATACAGCTGAGCTGGCCCCTAGCAGTCTGCCCGAAGCCACACCGTTCATCGTTGGAGACAATCAAACCTACAGTGGCTACTGGAACAGTCCTTTAGACCCTACAAAGAATTACCTCATCTACATCCAGGCTACAAGCAAATTCAAAGGGGTAGGAACCATTATGATGCCAGTTAGGCCTTTAAATCCATTCCATTGTTCGCAACCTTAAATGTTGAGATTATTTCACTGGTTACAAGCCACTGGGTAGAGAGATAGAGATATCTAAATCTAAGGAGACACATGTCAGCATAACCATAGCCCTATTATTAAGCAGCATAGTGTGTGATTTGCCCATCCTTTAAGCCTGGACTTGTAAATGAATGTAGCAGCTGGCAAAAAAGACTCAAACTGCTAAAAGAAATGGAGAAGTTCCACTAGGTGAATATTTTAGCAACAATAAGTTTATTGATCTGTTTGTCTCACACCCTCTCCTTCTGTCTAACCCATCACAATATCTTAAACAATTAATAAAATGTATAAGTGATCAACATAAAGGATTTGCATCAAGCTAATTTTTGCTAAATATTATTTTGTTATTTTTCATTTTTCAATAAAGCAAATAGTACATGAAAATTTTAGATA